ACATACACATATATATATGCACATACACATATATATATGCACATATATATATATATATATATATAATATATCCGATCTGACTCTTGTTATGATAGAAAATAGCTAAAGGAGGTACGTAGTTTCTGGATCCGTACAAAGATCCAACTGTTATTACTGCATTTTTAGCAATGGTACGAATTTATGAGTTCCACTTGGGCTCTGCAGTGAGCTTTAGTCTTAATAAGCAAGGGGCTTTTGAACTCTGCCAAGGCTGGACAGTGACGATTAGACAGCATGACTTCACATATCCCATTAATATTCCATTCTTGCGTTGTTGTTGCTATTCCCATTAATGCTTCTTCTATCTTTTATTGTTTTAAAGCTGGTGTCGATGAATTTTAGACAACACAGATTTTGCATAAACGCTTCTTGTGGAATTCTAACAAACGTTTTTTTTAATGAATTTTTATATGATTTAAACAAAATTTTCAGCAATTATTAATGAATTAATTATATACAGAAAAGATGATTTTATTTGAAATATGTGGGGAAATATTGGTGTCAGTTTCACCCTTCACCTTTTTGGTATATCATGGTTAATTTTAAATCAGGGAGGGTGTTCGCGAATTTTTTAGTTATATAAAGAAAAATCTCCGTGGTGTTACACACACACACACACACACACACACACATATATATATATATATATATATATATATATATATATATATATATATATATATATTTAGGCAGCAATCCTTCGTTTATGTATCTTTCCTTAAAAACAACAGACAAGGTACTACGGTTAAGCTTTTTTATTTAATTTTTCTTATGTTTGAACAAGATCTTTCTTTGCTGGACAAAGAGTGTGTGAAAACTGTCCAAATGTTTTATATTTCCGAGCACTTTCGGCTATACCTTTAGCCATTATCAAGGATGATTCGATTTTTCAGCTTAATTGAGTGTGTGCATTAATTGTATGTTTTAGTGTGTTGTAGGGATGTTTTTAATTTCCGAATACGGTTAGCACATTTTAGTCTTGTTCGTATTTAATATTGTTAAGAGTTGGCTTTTTTCTTTTTTATTATGAAATCTTCCATTATTTTTAGTCTTTTTTGCAAGTGGATGCAGTTAATATAATTGTGTTTTCTACTAGTATGTTTCTAATGGAGTCTGGTAAGTTTGTGTGTGTGTTTAAATAGATTCTAATGGGGCTATGGTTAGATAGGTGTATCGTAAGGCGTCTGGATAAGCATATAGTTGTGTAAACTATGTAATTATTTATGAGTCCGGTTTGATCAGGAACACAGTTCCTTAAGGGGCATTTGAACTCATAGATAATGTTCGTTCTTTGTAATTTTGACTTAGCTGGTGTGTTGTTATTTTTGAGGATAAGGTTAGCTGTCTTAAATTTTTGATAATAGATAATTAATTTGATATTTTTTATTCGGGTCAATTGGGGTAGTGTATTTCTTTATAATATGTCTTAGTGAAGATTCGTCTTATTTGTAGTTAATGTGCATTTGATTTTTGTAATAAACATTTATGTAATTTTTGACTGTGTGTTCACTACCGTTATTAATAACTTTGGGGAGAAATAGTCTAATTTGGTGGTCTATAAGGTGGTTAGGGAAGCCGTTGTTGATTACTGTTTGTTTTACATTATTAAGTTCTTTGAGGAAGAGTAGTCGAGAGGATGAATTCTAGTGTGCTCTTTTTAGGACGTTTTTTATTAATAAAAATTCATAAAATCATCCTTGATAAAGGCGAAAAGTATAGCCGAAAGCGCTCGGAATTACAGAACAATATCTACACACTTTGAGTTCGAAACAAAAAAAATTAAATAAAAAGCTTAATCGTCGTACCTTGTTTGTTGTCTTTAATGAAAATTATATATATATATATATATATATATATATATATATATATATATATATATATATATATATAATGAATGAATAAATATATTCACTGAGTATGTATATATGCAAACAATTTTTTCTACAATCATTATAAATTTATTTGCATAAGATTTGAAAATTTTGTTACAACCTGATACCTTTGCTGAACTGTAGAGCAGATATTTACAAAACTCCACTGCTTGCTAGAGGTTCAATTCCATCTCAATTAATGTGTCAATTAATTTCCAGAAACTGTTGAAATGCCAAGAAATGAGCATTGAAAGAAGAGTCCAAGAGAAGGATATTCCGAACGTCAGATTGTTTGTAAATTACAGATAACAAAAAATAAGATGCATTATTGCCTGTAGAGGGCATGCGGAAACCGGTTAAAATATTGACAGAAAAAGATCTGGGAGGTCCAGAGTAACATCTACTATGTACGATAGACGCACGATTGTGTCTAGCAAAAGAAACAGAAGAAAAACAGCTTCCCAACTAACTGTTGAATTTAATTCTACATGTTAGCATTCAATATCTGTCATGACTGTTAAGAGAAGACTTCTTTCTTTGGGGCTTAAAGGACGTGCATTAGTTAAGGAACTTCTATTAAAAAAGGAAAA